TGTATTTGTGAAAATATTGTATTCTTAGTTTATAGACTTCAATATCAGTTTATACATGTTTTACTAAGTCTACAAAAACATTTCACAAAGTTTCAAAAGTTGGTTTATGTCAAAACATCAAAATTCAAGTATCTCATATTTTCATGTTTTGGACTATTTTGTAAAATGATGATATTTTTCATTTGGGAAGTCCTTTTTCGAAACCAGTCGTTGTAGCATGTTTATTATCATGTCTACAATCATTCCCCAAAGTTTTACATTTTTTGGAATTTATTTGATATTTTTAAACAGCATTTTAAAATCAGCAAAACAGTTTTCAGAACCTGTCATATCAGTTTTCGGTCGACCGCACCGGTCGACCGCTCGTTTGTTCTTTCGTCAGCATGGTCCAGAGAGTTGGTCGGTCGACCGGTCCGGTCGACCGAAAGCTCCATCGGTCGACCGTACCGATCGACCGACGAAGTCTCTGCCTGTTTTCTTTTGTTTTCGACCTGGACAGCGGTCGACCGAAATTTCCGTCGGTCGACCGAAAGTTTTCATCGGTCGACCGCACCGGTCGACCGACGATGGTCCAGAATGTTTTCCTCGTGTTTTTGCTCTCATCGGTCGACCGACGGGATTTTCGGTCGACCGACAATATAGCCGTTGCTTTTTAACGGCTCTTTCTCTGAGCTGTTTGCTGGGGTTTTTGGTCATTTCGTTTTGGGGTTTTTTGGCTGAGCTTTGAGTGGGTATATATACCCCATTGCTGATGTCTTTTCAAAGTAGTTAAGAGAGTTTTTTAATCAAGTTTAATAAAGTTTTTAACAAGGGTTTTAGTTTGGTTTAAGTGTGTTTAAAAAGCTTTTAAGCAAATTGAGAGTTTGTTTTTGTGATTCAATTCTACAAGAGCTTGAGGAGATCATCTATTGGTGTTTGGGCATTCAACTATTCTCCCTCCAACTCTTGATATATTGAGAAGTTTTCTAAACTCTATTTCTAGCTTTTTTATATATTTGATTATCATTGTTATTAAGCTAGAACTACATTGAGTTTAGTTTTGATTTATATCTCTTTGTTCACACACAACCTTTTGAGCTTATTGTATTTACATTCATAGTATAATTTAGGGTTGTGGGTTTGTGACATTGAGAGTGAGCTTAATTGAGTTCTCATCTTGTTAGAGAGAACAATCATTTGTTATATTGTGCTTATTGTGAGAATCACTTTGTAATACACTTGTACACCGAGTGAGGAGTGTGTGGTGAGAGTCGGGGATCGTCCCAAGAGGAGGGGCGGCGGTTGACGTGCCTAGGGAGAGGTTGTAACCGAGCACTTGAGGGAGACACGGCTAGGTCCAACACTTAGTGGGTGTAGAGTGGGATTACAATAGTGTAATGATTGTAAAGTTTTCGGTTAGCTAGAAAACCGAGTGTGAGGTGTAAACGTTATTCGGGTGAACGTAGAAAACCCGGTTGATAGTGGATTTCTCCCCGGGAGTGGGGAGCGGAGACGTAGGACGGAAGGTCCGAACTCCATGATCATATTGCTTGTTTGAGTGTGCTTTGGCGTTCATTCATATTTATGTTCATATCTTATATCGCCATTGTCATTAGCTCATTATCTATATCATCCACTATCTTGTTTACATTGTTTACCATTGTGTTTATATATCCTTGCATATATCTCATTGTTTACATTGCTTATCCTAGCTCATATATCTTGTGATATTTCATACTTGCTAGGATAACTTGTTAATTAGTTTTTTAATTGGCATTTAATCGGATTAGATTAGCATAAGACCCTAATCACCCCCCCTCTAGGGTCTAACACTGCTCATATGTGTGTGGTATTATTTGAGGATATTATGTTTTAGTGGGAGTTCGTAATTGTGGTGCTTTATGTTTGGTTGTATTGTCTGATCAGAATAAAGTATTTAGTTAAGACACTCTGTTACATTATGTTTGGTTTTGACCTCACTAAGGAGGACCAGTTGAAAATAGACATGTACTGATAACATTGCATGTAATTTTCATGCTGCACATCCATGATTGATCTATGTCGTTTGATTGTATTGGTATATGTGACCATTGATGGGTCGAGTCACGATAAATGTGACGAAGGCCGCTTTGATCCTATATTGATATAGTCAATGGACGAGATTGTTCGGAAATACCTTTTCAGTGATAGCAATTTTTGAGCTCATAAGGTTATACACAATTTAAGGAATCATATGGTGCCCAAGTGGGAGATTGTTGGATTTAATCTAATAAATCTATTTGTGGGCACATATGATTAATCAATGTGTATTGCTATCTTTCAGGATAACCCACTAAAGTGATCAATTAAGTTGGGTTAATGAGTATTTAAATATAATCATAGGGTTATATGTGCATATATCAGGTTGTAATTGTGATTTATTGAGGGGCTAAATTACAAAAGTACAACATCTATAAATAAGGGGTTATGGTCCCTAACTTAGGGTTACATTCTCTAATTCTCTTCACCCCCATCTAGAGAGAAATTCGGCTAGAGAGAACCCAAAGGTTAGAAGATCAAAACCCATCTCAAGATCAAGCAATGGATTCAGGTATAAGCTTCCGCTCTTTTAGATTCTTGTTAATCTCTTTGAATTAATCATGGCTATATGGTTTTAGATCTCAAGTTTTGGTTTAGATCTAACAGACACATGAAGCACAACCAATTTGTGACTAATCCCAAAAATTCTTGCGAGTATGTTGTACTTTTTACATCCATTTTTTGAAACTCATTAAACATAGTCCAAGTTTGTTTCAATACGTACGAAAGTTTAAAACTATGAGAAGGTCATTTAACTGTCTAGCTCAAAAATGAGAAGTTTACAGTTATACAATCAACATTATTTTGTTCAAAGTTAGCTTACTTTTTTATTCTATTGGTTTTTTAAGTTAAAATTGATCCAAATACGAGAATTAGATCTAACTAAATTTTTTACTCATGTATAGTGTCTTAGAGGTTCTTCAACGGCCAAAATAGAGTATGATGATGATGAGGAAGAGAACATTGATGGTGAATGAATGATTTTGTTGCTTTTAAGATGTGGAGTTGCAATGAGTGATTCGGCTTGAAGAAATGCTAAATAGGATGAGATTTTTGGAAATTCTACTATCATACCATATTAATATGGGTTATAACTTGCGTTTTGGTCAGTAATGGTATATATACATAATGTGTCTTACTCTTTGGAGTTTAAGCATGGGAGAAGTGTAAACCGAGCCATATTTTGTGTTTTGGTGGTATAAGTTGTAAAGAATTTTTAGTTAACTATCATCTTATGAAATTAGTTAGGATCTTTTATTGCTTATGTGTGACAGGTTACCGTCTTGAATGGTTGTAAGCTCTATTGTGATGAATTATTGAATCTTCTACTTTGTGATAGAAATGTTGTCCCTATAGTATTTTTTTTTGTGAATGTCAATTGCGAAGGGAATTTTGTCTCTAATATTTGTGAATAAATGTGTGGCGGTTTTGTAATGGAAAATCCATTGCGGATGATGTCTAATAGTAAAGACTATTGCAACAAGCTTTTGTAACAGGAATTTGTCATAGTTCATCAGCAACAAAATTTTGTTGCCAATATCGATCATAATAGTTAGCGACAGAATTTTGGAATCAACACAAGCGACGGAAAATCCCCTCACTGTTTCGTCGCTAATTGTAGATATAGCAATGGATTCATTTTTTGACACAATAGGTCGGTTTAGGCGATGGGGGATACAAGGACAAAGTTTGCTATGGAAATGCGTCGCTATTTAGTTTTGTGATGAAATTCTACCTATCTACAGCGGAAATTTTCTGTTGCAGATACACTGTTTTCTTGTATTCTTTCAGTTATAAACCAAGGAGAGTTAACACTATAAGATTCTTCATATTTGAACTTATTAAGATCATGAAGAAGTCTTCTTATAGATATGGAAATATATGAATTGAGGGTATGGTGGTGATAAAAGAAAAGTTAAGGCCTAAAATTTAACATATGTAAATAAAAAAGGACTTAGTTTGTGATGGAGTTATGGTATATTGAGACTTGTAAGTTGAGAAAAAGTAAAGTATAGGGCCAATTCGAGTATGATGACCTAGTACATGGACCAAATTGGTCTTTTATCAATGCACAGATATTATAAATGTGAATTGGTCAGATATATAGTCATCTTCTAAGTTGTTTCTCGCTCTTTTCTAAGTAACATATTTCCTCGATTTTAACTCTAATTTGTCAGGACTTTAATGTTTTTCTAATTTTTATTTTATAACCAATATTTTTCTAAGCTTTGACAAAATAAATTTTGAGAAACAATCCAATTATATACAGAGTGCCACAGCTAAGCACAAATTTAACAAAGAAAAACACAATGATAACCTCGCATGTTACAGTCAACCTAAAGCAAAATTATTATCAAACAAATAATATTGAAATGGAAGAAAGTGAACTAATGATGTTCCTTTCTCATGGAAGCAACCATTATTTAGAACCACGTCTCATCGTGGGGGAAAAAAGTACTATGTGTCATGTATAGAAAATAATGTGGAAAAAACTATGAAAAAAACATGTCATTTCTATTTTTAATCATTAAAAATAGTAATAGGCTAAGTGGCACTATAGTTTACACGACTTTGCACCTATATATCCTATCATTAATATAATATTGTCATGTGATTCTCACATTTTAAAAGATAGATCAATTAATTATATCTCTAAGTTTGTCTTAATCAACTAAAAAGAATATCTATATATCCCTAGAATAGTACATTAAACATACCTCTTAACACATTTTCACTATTCTAAGATGGATTTTTTTTAATTGATTCAAACAACTTCAAATGATAAAAAAATATTAATTTTTAACATGTAAAAGTAATATGAGAATATTTAGGGACGTATTCCAGCATGTAGTTAATTTACAGAAGATAGTAATATCCTATTTTAAAAACAATAAGGTATTTAAATGTTAAAAAAAATGTTGCATCTCACCGCAAACTCATATAGACTTCTAGGTATTTGAGTGCAATTTAGCCTCATTAATAAAACAAAAATCTCAAACCAAGCAAGTAATACAAAAGTCAATGCAACCAATAATTTCAATTTTGATAGTAACACTAATGACATGAAAACACCTCAGGCAACCAAGAAGAGCCCAAACAAGACACCCAACACCCACCAACTCCTCCCTCTCCCCGCTCCATTTCCCGCCGGAGCTGGAGGCATAAAATCATCTGGGGATGGCGCGGACGGCATTTTCGCCACTGTTGAGTTCTCAACTATGATACCAAATCTCATACCACCTTTACAGTGGCCTTTAGTATCACATATGAACCAATATTGAGTGGCCTCGGTGAGAGTCACTCGATCATTGCCACTGTCATGGATGGCCTTCACGCCCGAGCTTGAATTGCACGATCGGTAGGTTTCCTCGGTCACCTGGTACACGTTGTGCTGGCCCTTGACGTAGATGAAAACTACAACCAAACAAGGCAAGTTACTTCATCGGATGAAACAGTCATTACAACATCATAAGACTTCTGATTTCTCTGTTTTGATACAGGAAAAGACTAGAAAATGTTACTAAAATAGATCTAAAAAGATATTGCTACATTAAATTGTTTATGATTTGATCTATGATAGGGACGCTCAACATGCAAATGTTAAAATATTAAATTATAACCCTCAAATTAACTCTCATCAGAAATTCAAATTTTTGTGTGAAGGAAGCATTTTAAAAAGGCGCAAGTAGAACTTTTGCCTAGAACATCGCCGACGGTAAAGTTGTACTTCTGAGACCATGTGAGGTAGTTGACTCCTTGGTCCCAACGCCCGTTGTCGCCGACCGAGTACTCCCTTGCTTGCACGTAGGTTTTGGTGAAGAAGGAGAGGAAGGAGAGGATGGAGAAGAGGAAGGCGAAGGTGTTGGATGCCATGGCTTTGTTTATGGTATGTTTTGGGTGTAATGCTAGAAACTATATCCTATATATATTATCTGGTTTGGTGCTGAGGGATATGTTGGAAGTCAACTGGTTAAGGATCAAGAAAAAGGGTAGTTGGCGAAGAATGGTTCTGTATTTCGTTTTTCTTTTTCTTTTTTCTTTTTTTTTTCCTTAGGGTGTGAGGTTTAAAGTAGCTTGATGGTCTGGGCAAAACTCATCAAAGGGAAACTTTATAGGAATAAAGATGCTAATGTTATGAATGCCGTGAATTGGTAACTTGTAATTTTACAATCAAACAGTGCACCTGTATGTTAATAAGATTTCGTAATGAGTTAGAAAGGGAAAACTGCGTCAGCCCTGTTTCAGGAACAATAAATTTCGTTGTGCCAGCTTCCAGCTAAGGATAATGACAGGAAGCTGGCCCCGATAACTCCGGTAATGGTTGGAATCATAACAAGCCCTCTGAATAAAGAATCTAAGCACCATGCATCTCCTTTGACTACTTAATCATACTTTTAACCTCCGTGGACCTTATGTTTACAGAGATAACCATCAGTCTTATCTTCAGCTTCCCTCATCTCTCTCCTCTCTCATCTTTTATCCCCCTACACCTCCACCCTCACCTCTGCCTTTGCCTCTGCTTCTCCTTCTCGCAGCCGTTCCCTCTCCTCCTCCTCCTCCTACGGTCTCTCTTTTGTCTCATCTATCGTCTATGCTCCTCTTTCATTGCAGCCTCTCCTCTCCCTCCCGTCTCTCTTCTTTCTTCTCTATTGCCTATCCTCCTCCACCTTGATCTCTCCTCCTCCTCCTCGACCACCTGCATCCTCGCTTACCTTTCTTCCTTCTTCTTCTTCTTCTTCTTCATCATCTATATCATCCTTTCCCGCAAGCTCTTCTTTGTTTCCAGTTCTCGCACTTTCGTCTCTCCACCCTTTATGGAATTGGCTCTCCCCACAGCTACTTCTATTTAAAATACTCCCATTTATCATTTGTTGTCGCCTCACCCATTAAAGATATAACATCTAACATTAAAAGTTTACAAGTTATGTACAAAAGTGACATTTATAGCGTAGTCTGTACAAGACACAGATAAAAACTTCTAATCAATATACATAACACTATTATTAATAGACGTAAAAATTTAGAATTTTATATAGAAGTGGTCTTAACTTTTGCACAAATTGTACTTTATATTTTTTATTTATTTTTTGGATGTGAATCACCTTAGTTTGCTTATATGCTCTCAATGTCACACATTTGCCACTACTCAGCCCATAAAAATTAAAATATGCCCACTTTAGCCCTCTCCTCTCTCCTCCTTCTTCCTTGCCTCCTCTCTCCCCCAACTCCTTGCCTCCCCTATCCTTCTTCCCATCTACCCCCACATTATCCCTTCTATCTCCTCTCTATCTTCTCTTCTTACTTTACCTCCTCCAATTTTAGTATTTCTGCAAACTCTATATTCTTTTCTCTTCTCCTCCCTTTCTACCATTGGCCCCTTCCACCTCCTCCCTTTCCTCTCCTCTTCCCCTCCCTGTCCTCCACCTTCTTCATCATTGCCTTCATTTTCAGGATTTCTCCTTTTGGGGATTTTAGACCTCCCCGCCTTCTACAATCTCTGCAACGCAGAAGCTAATCCACAATCAAAAAGATAAAAATACTCACAATCAAGAAAAAGAATATCGAGTTTACGTGGTTTGTTCTACCAACTTAGACCTATATTTATGAGCAACAATATAAGAAATCCACTATGTATCTGGGAGAGCTATAGAATATGGGTTTGGGGTTAGCCGCATCCCCCATATTTATCTAAAGTACTTTGTCCTCAGTGGGTGGTTCGCGTTGTTCAAACCGACCTCTCTATTGAGCACTTACATGTCGATCTCATGCTTCATCGTAAACCGGAACCTGGTTGTCTTCTCTGATTTCGGTGGGGTTTGTTGTAGCTATGTTGACTGTGAGATTCTTAAACACAGCCCCTATACTAACATTTGAATCCTACATTGAGGATGCTAATGATGAATCTATAGAGCGAACTTCTTCGAGCTCTTTACCAGAGTCACAACATTGTTCGGATGAAGGGGAGACGTAACCTAGACCTCTCCTGGTTTGATGATAATAATCATCGAGCTTTCCTTTGGGAACGAAGGGTCACAACAGTGTTCTTCGTCCTTTTCTAAAATTCAAACCCTTGTTGCCGAAGAAGTCATACCCATATTCTCCATCATACGTCGAGGCGTTGGTCCATAGTGCGAGAATTAAAGAACGGGCTTATCTTCTTCTGAATCATCCCAAAATGTACGCAGAGGCTGATCTACTATTCCAAAACTATATCTTCCTGATTACTATCTTTGTCTGGTACAATAAAGAAGGCTCGCGAGGACTCAATCGTTTGTTTATTTGTTACAAACGACGAATGTACTGGCAAGTGTAAAGAAGAGTTAGTATACAACCCTAAAACAGGATCGCTAGACTCGTCAGTACTGGACTCTGAACTAATAGATGACAAGTAAGCAAAGTCATAATCTTTATCCAGGACAATTTTGCATGCTTCATCAGCATTACATACATTGGGGCATTCATAGCTGATTACAATGGTTTCCATATTGTTCAAGATAAGACCCTCGTCGTATTCAGACTCACTATCCACCTCGTTGCCGCTTTCAGATACCTCGATTGGTGGTTCTTCCTCCGATTCATAGTCTTGGTAAAGCAAAGAGTCGGTGAAATAGTTCTTGACCCCTTTGAAGGGTTGCTTTTCTACAAACACCATCTTCACTTGACCCTTATCGCCCACATAGTTCATCCATTGATGTAACGTGGATATGACTATCAAGTTGCTATGGGTCCATGACCGACCCAATAGAACGTTATAGGAAGGTTCTGTATCAATTATATAGTAGGTCACTTCTGTCTTTATGTCACCCAGCTAGCATTTGAGGCGAATTTCCCCCAATGGATGGGTTCCAGTTGCATTAAAACCAAAGATGATGGTGCTTGTCGCATACAAACGTCTTTGAGGTATTCCTAAGTAATGAATGAGCTTTAGGGGAATGATGCCCAGTGCGGACCCTAAATCCACTTGGATTCTGTCCACTCTAGCGGAGCCGATGTACCTAGTGAAGTACAGTCGTCGGTCATGCTTCGTAGTCTTGATAAGCATGTCATCGTCTTCGAAGTGCTTTCTGCCATTGGAGGGTATTGTTTAGCAAAATCTTTTCGTGCCCTGGTAGCCAATGTGGTCTTCTCGTCATCAGAGTTAGTGAGGGTAGTTGCTTCCACCTTGTCATCGTCTAGGATTGCAGACACAACGTTGCAGAGCTTCACCTTTCCTTTGGACTTCTTTCAAGGCTTAGAAGTCCACTGCTCATCTTTGAGGAGATCGGAACGGAACCACATAGTTTGTCCTGACGGCAGACTCTGTTGTACCAAACGTTTCTCTCACTGATGGTGAGGATCAGTGTTGACGATCCTCAGATCTGCCTAAGGGATGGGCACGACCCTTGATGGCGCTAGGACTTCTAGGAGGTCTTTCCCGAACTTTAGAGTGACCATGTTCGTAGTCACTTTCTTATGTGTCGTTTCCTTCTTTAGGACCACTACTTCATAAAGGGCCTGAATTTTATCCTTTAGGATATAGCATTTAGAGGTAGGATGATGAACTATCTTGTCACGTCCTGCTTCACAAAATACCCGGGAATCGGAACGTGAACAAGCCCGTGATATATTAGATTAAGGAGAATAAATAAAAATAAATATTTCTGCTCAACCTAATACGCTAAGCGTCAAGAAATAAATACAATACGAAGTCATAGGTTCCCGATCACAGTTAGCTAGAATATAATAGACAAACTCAGAACAAAATGATCCATATCATAAAAGAAATATCATCCTAGACATAATATTTGGGTCAACATGCCCTTATACAAAACTATCTGAATGAAATACTAGAGAATATAAAAATACACTGATCAAATAGAAATGGAAAGTAGTACAAAAGAAAACTAAGGACCAATAACTAAGCTTTGGCTTCTTCTTCTGTTCTGTCTGCAATGCACTTCTGCTGAGAATCCTCTGACTCCTAGTGATCTCCCAGCTGGACCTGTTCTTCCTCTAAGTCTGACGTACACCAGAGAAAATAGGTGTACGTCAGCATGCATGGCACATGGCAAGATCCCACAAAATAAATAGAACGAATGAAAACCCAAGCGGAAAACGATACGATAACAGAAATGACAAAAGAAAGGGTAACTAGAAATCCAACAAAATCAATATGTGAAAACACTACTAAAATATGATAATCATAAGGCTAACTGCATACTGTAATCGGGTCAAGTACTAGCCATCCTAAATTCTCACTGGTCCACATCTCACACAAAGTCAACGTAATATTACCGGATAACCGACTGTTCATAAATCCTCTATGCGCATCCAATACCACACACGAATCGCTCAGAGGACTACACGTAATCCGATCTCGGCCTGGTCCGAACTCAGAAAAACCTCAGGTGACGAAACAGGTCACAGACTAAAGTGACAACACGAATTCACTTTAACCCAACAAACCAACCCAGTGACTACACGAATTCACTGGCGCGAGCTGGAAGATACATCAACAGTCATATCCAAGCACATGAACATTAACTTTCCCATCCCAACTCTTCTTGTTTTTCTAAATCAACAGTCGTATTCCATACTGAAACTCTAGTTCACCACCTAAACTCAGTCAACACACTCACACATGTCACTAGGTCTGTTCATGATGCACGAGGCCACTAAGTCATGAACTACTAAGGGTTCTCAAACACAACCAAGAACAATAATAATATGACTACTTCTATGCAAATACATTAAAATAGAACGTAAAACATAAAATGTAATCATAAATAGTAAAATATGCATGCATTCCGGTTTCATTAATATCTTGTTATCCGAATCTCAAAACCACTCATAAAAATTATACGCATCTAAATAATATTGAAAATAACTATGATTAAAAGAAAACTAAAATTCGTTATCGTTTTTCACATGAAATGTCGCAGTCTACAACTACAGACACAAAATCATAAATTAATCTAAAATCCAAAATAAATAATCCTTTTTGCAAATAAATTCCTTTAAAACATCATAATTATAAAAAATATAATTCTTTTGCCGAAATAACTTAACAACTCAAAATGACCCTTTTT